CCTCGTGATACTCATATCACAAGGTCTTTGCTCTTCTAATGGTGTTGAATCCAGCTTTTAACGATCTCATCAAGCATCTTCTTAGAGCTACAAAACTACCAAGCCTGGAGGAAGTCTGTTCTCAGATCCAGAAGGAACAAGGGTCTTTGGGTCTCTTCGGCAATAAAGGAAGCGACTTGGTGATGGCCAACAAAGGTGAAGCTGCAGTAGCCAACAAAGGAGCCTATGGTGGTGAGGACCGTGAGGTTTGGGTGTGTGAGCATTGTAAAAGGAAGGGTCACCTGAAGAGCAAGTGCTGGATCCTGTATCCACATCTCAAGCAAAGCCGCAGCAAAGACCAGAGAAAGCCAAGGGCGAATGAAGCTCATGCTCAGGAGGAGGCTGGCCCCTCAGACCGTGAGAAGGAAGGGGTTGCTATGAGGGCCTCAGCTGAATATGTGAAGAAATCAGACCTGGATGCTCTCATCAAGGCTCTTAAAGAGTCTGGTAAACCGATTAAAGCCTTTAGCTTTCATGCATTACATGATCATATCTTGACTAATCATACTACTAATACTGTTGTGGATGATCATTCTTTAGAAATTCATACTGCAAATCATGTCTTGAAAAGTGATAAACCGCTTATTGTTGACTCTGGAGCTAGCCATCATATGATTAGTGATGCTAAATTGATTAGTAACATGAAACCTACATTAGGAAATGTGATTATTGCAAATGGTGAAAAAGTTAAGATAGAAGGCATTGGTGATCTTAAGCTGTTTGATAAACAATCTAAAGCATTTTACATGCCCTCATTCACATCTAACCTCTTGTCTATTAAGAAAGCAACTACTGATTTAAACTGTTATGCTATATTCAGTCCTAATGAGGTTTTCTTTCAGGATATTAAGTCAAGTAAGCTTCTTGGACAAGGAACTACTAAAGATGGGCTTTATGTTCTTGAAGACACTAAGCCATCTTCTCTATCTAATGCTTTTGTTTTTAGTTCTGTTGTTGAAAATAATGCATTGTGGCATGCTAGATTGGGTCATCCCCATCATAGGTCTTTGAATCTGATGTTACCTGATGTTAAGTTTGATAATAATGCTTGTGAAGCTTGTATCTTGGGTAAACATTGTAGAACTGTCTTTCCTAAATCATCTACTATTTATGAAAATTGCTTTGATTTAGTTCACTCTGATGTATGGACCTCTCCATGTATGTCTAGAGAAAGTCACAAATACTTTGTTACCTTTATTGATGAGAAATCTAAATATACTTGGATCACTTTGTTACCATCTAAAGATAGGGTGCTAGAGGCCTTTATGAATTTTCAAAAATATGTGACTAACCATTATAATGCTAAGATCAAAGTGTTTAGGTCAGATAATGGAGGAGAATACACAAGCCAAGCCTTTAGGCATCACCTTAACCAACACGGAATTGTCCATCAAACAAGCTGTCCTTATACCCCTCAGCAAAATGGAGTTGCTGAGAGGAAGAACAGGCATCTTATGGAGGTGGCCAGGTCCCTTGATGTTTCATAGGAATGTCCTAAGAGGTTTTGGGGAGATGCTGTAGTCACAGCCTGTTATCTTATCAATAGGCTCCCTACAAGGATCCTCCAAGATGCTTCCCCCATTTGAGGTATTAAACAAGTCTAAGCCATCGATTGATTACCTAAAAGTATTTGGTTGTGTTTGCTTTGTATTAGTTCCAGGAGAACAAAGGAACAAGCTTGAGGCTAGAAGTACAAAAGGGATGTTCATTGGCTATTCTATTAACCAGAAGGGCTACAAATGTTACATTCCTGAGACTAGGAGGGTTCTAGTGTCCAGAGATGTGAAGTTTATTGAAGATAAGGGCTTCTATGAGGAAAGAAATTGGGAAAATCTAAAGGATCTTCCCCATTCCAACTCAGATAGGGCGGCTACTCTCAGAACCCTACTTGAGACCTTAAGAAACGATGGGAGCACACCAACAGGCTCAGCCCCAGCTGAATCCACTCAAGATCAGGTGGATCCACATCCATTAGAAGAGGAACCTGAGACTGAGACCGAGGCCCCTGGTGAGGAAATGGAAAACGACCAAGTGATCTCACCAACCCAAGAAGAACCTGAGCTAGGCGTGGATCACACTCAAGAGGAATCAGTTCCCACAGAAGAAGAACCGGCGGTTCAAGAGCTTAGAAGAAGCCAAAGGATCAGAAAACCGGCTTCTAATTGGATCAATACTAGAGTCTACTACAATAATCAAGCTATAGCTCATCCAACTCAAGCAGTGTGCTCTCTAGCCCATGTTCCTCAAGAACATCAAGTGTTCATAGGAGTCTTAGATCAAGAAGAGGTTCCAAGGACTTATGATGAAGCAAAGGAGCACAAGGTGTGGCTTGATGCTGTTACTGAAGAAAAACAGGCTATGATTCGGAATCACACTTGGGATGAAGCTGAGTTACCAAGAAAGAAGAAAACTGTGAGCTCTAAGTGGGTATTTACTATCAAATACAAGAGCAATGGGGAGATCGAGAGGTACAAGGCAAGACTGGTGGCTAGAGGTTTCACACAGACCTATGGGGAAGACTATAGAGAGACATTTGCTCCGGTTGCTAAGCTACACACAGTGAGAGTTATTCTCTCCCTTGCTACAAACTTAGAGTGGGATTTATGGCAAATGGATGTGAAGAATGCATTTCTTCAAGGAGAATTAGAAGAAGAGGTCTATATGACTCCTCCACCAGGTGTTCAGGTGACTCAGGGCAAGGTTTTGAAGCTGAGAAAGGCAATCTATGGCTTGAAACAGTCCCCAAGGGCTTGGTATCGGAAGCTAAGTGTTACCCTCTTAGATCGCGGGTTCCGAAGATCTGAGACTGATCACACTCTCTTTACACTTCAGAGCCAAGCAGGTATCATAGTTATTCTCATTTATGTGGATGATTTAATCATCTCTGGGAATGACAAGGTTGGAATTCAGGAAACTAAGGACTATTTACATTCTGTTTTTGATATTAAAGACCTTGGTGAACTAAAATACTTCCTTGGGATTGAAGTGTGCCGATCTAAAGAAGGTCTTTTCTTGTCCCAAAGGAAGTATGCTCGAGATATTGTTCATGATGCAGGTCTTAAGGATGCAAAACCGGCTAGAACTCCATTGGAGGATGCATATAAAGCTCACCAACAGGGGGAGAATGAAGCTGAGAGTCTCTTTGATGATCCCAAGCTATACAGAAGAACAGTTGGTAATGATCGACCA